AACAGTGAGCGCAAGCTAGATTCAAGTGATTATTACGTTTTGAATATGGATATTTTTCTTACAAAATGCATCGATTCGCTATAAGAGGCCTTTGTTCAACCCCCCGGAGCCATGTGAGACACTTTTTTAACTTAACTTTAACTTCTTTTGGACTGAAGCAATGCAACACCCGCTGACTGCAATGATAGAGCTTGAAAGATCAAAGACCAAACATATGAAAAAAAAACAATGTAGTAAAAAAATATGTAGTAAAATCTGTGCCGTTAAGTGTTATCACAGTACCGCTATGATGTTATGTAAAACATTTTGTTTTACGTGGATATTGGAACGTGAGTGAAGTACATAATAAATAATCATTTGCCATTCAAATACATCGCAAATACGGAAACCTTACATTTTGTGTGGAATGAGAGACCCAACGTTGGTTTCAGTTTCGTTTTAGCCTAAATGAATTCATTTTGGTTTTTCGTTTATATTGCTATAGCGTCTTATATTTTTAATTCTTGTTCTTATCTAAATACTGTTAATTGAAAGGATTTGTTGTGGAGTGAGGGGAACTAAAATAGCCTGTTTATAATGTTTGTAAACATTTCGCGTTGGCATTAGGCCTATTTCTCAATTAAATAAAAAATGCGACTTATGCGCGACTTATGTTTTTTCCCCCCTAAAAAAACAAAAAACAAAATTATACGCGTAGAGTATTTTAACCATGCAGCAAACCTTTTTAAATATTTTGATAAATTACTGAAAAAATTAATAATTAAACGACTTTTTAAACCGTTTAACTGATTGTATTAATCGGTCAAAATTCTTACAGTCGGTTAACCGGTTAAAATGGACATCCCTAGTTTTAATACATTTGATAAGTAAATCTTATTATCATTACAACTTATCATTTTTTTATTAATAATGTGTAAAGTGTAGTATCAATAACAGACATTTCTATAATGAAGGTGCATAAAAAAAAAAAAACACACACATAAGAGACTGAACAACTGAGAAGTGACTTTATATTGCTGCTTTCACTTACAGCAGCACAGCACCGCATAAATGAATAGCAGCCTAGCTCCACACAAAGAGATACATCAGTTTCACTAAAGGTAGAGAGATAAGGACTTCATTTCCATCACTGTGTGATTAGTACATAAAAAAATAAATGAATAGAAAACCACAAAGTGACAGACAGCACTGAAATGATCTTTAGTCACACACTGAGGACAAGATAAGAGTTGCTTCAACTCATAGGCCGGCTTAAGCTACGATACTTCCTGCACGAGAGCAAACTGAACTGACGTAGTTGAGTAATTTTTCCATCTTTTTCTCTACCGGTTTCCCTCCTACTGCCCCAAAGGAGGCAGTCACGATAAAGAGTACAACAGGAAAGTCTTTAAAAAAAGCAGGAAAGAGATAGGGTGTACATAAGCTAGAGCAAGCAGGAGCTTCAAGAAAGGTTAGTCTGCGAGAGAAAGTAGGAGGAGAACGAGAGATTGAGTTGAGGAGTGTAAGAAAGAGCACAGGGGATTGACTGCGAGTAGGAGGGAGGGAGTAGGTGGCAAATGCCATTGACAAGCCGACTAAGTCTTAAATAATGAACCACTGGGAAGACAGGCCGGATGTCTTAGTTTGGGCAGCTTTGTAACTGGGCGGCTCCAACAGACTGACGAAGTGACTCAGGGTGTTAGTCACGCTGAGAGACGTGAACACACGCTCAAATGAAGCCTGCTTGTCTTATCAGTGGTGTAAGTCTTTGAGTCAGTGGTGAAACCTCAGTCTAGTATAAGATTCAGATGGATTTTATTCATTTAAACTGAATACTTGCCTACTAAGAAATAATTAGCAAGTAATACATGACTGAGGCGCAAGTTGTTGACAACCCTGCTTTACATTCGATTACACACTTCTAATAAGCCATTCAAGAGAAAAATGCAAAAAACAACTGTTAACCTTTATGCAAGAAGTTAACTGACTGTTTGACAGCCATGAGAGAGCAGAACCTAGTTTAGGCACTACTGACTTTCTGCTTACTGTAGAAACCGACAGTTATCATCTACAGAAGTCAAATACATATTACAAACCTGTACATTTCTTTAAAAACCTTAAGGTGATACTTGTTATGGTTCAAGTGAATTATCCAAAAAATACGCAGAAGTGACCATACTACACTTAAACTCACTATGTAATATAATAATCACAACCAAATAAAGTTTGTAGCATTTTTTAAACTCCACAGCTGCTTTCAATAAAAACTATGGCTTTCGCTTTCCGAAAGGCAGCTGAAACTGAAGTAACTTTAAATCACTCCTCGAGTTTTTCGCGTATAAAGACACATACTATGAAACACATACTCATAAAGATTCATGTAAAATTACACATCATTCATTCGAATTATGAAACTTTAGTAAAACTGAAACCTGCATTCATGCACTCTTGGCTTTCACTATTGCTTTAGTTAGACATGTTTGCGAAAACACGACTGAAATATCGTAACGACATAGGCCTACTATTATTATTCTTTAATAACAGGTTTGCTAGAAAACCGTCCAGTCACATATTACGAGTGAACGTTAGTCGGGTCCAAACATAATTTTGGCAAAATCGACAACGTTACGCAACCGAGACCACGTAACGTTACGACGTACAGAAGAAAACGCGAGGTACCAAAGTTTCTGTGTTTATAGGCTCACACACAATGATCCAGATATAAAAAACTAGTATACATTCTTTCAGCTAGGACTGCTCCAGTTGTAAATAAACTGGTGTGGACGGAGTAACAGCTACACAAGCTCAAGTATCGTCAACATAAACTCTAGTTGTTACGTAAAGCGGGACAGTGCTGAACAGTGTTAATATATAAAACAATTTCCAAAAACAGAATGATACCTAAAAGGTCTTCTACCGGGCTCAAATAACATCCAGAAAACAGTTTGTGACAAAGTCGTTAACGTTACCTTGACGAGGAAAGGGCACCATCTCCTCCGGCGGGCTCAACTTCCTTCTTCCCAACAGCGGACTCCACATCCAGTCGACACATAGAGACAGTGGGAATTCCGTTTTTTCTTTTCATGGACGCCTCGAACGCTGTGATGTCCCTTTGACCCATACCATTATGTTTGGCTCAACCAGTTGCTTCGTTGTTTAGCGTTTATTACAACCAACTAACGTTACTCTCGCAGACGTGCGCGCGCACCGCTAGCCTCCGCGGCTAAGCTCACAGGGATGCGCAATGAATTAGCCAGTTAGCTAGTTCGTACTTAGTAAAGTGCTGGCTCTGTCTATATGGAACTACGAAATTAATTTACCCAAGATCCTCGAATGACCGCTACATTCTCTTGACTGATAAAAATAAGATGTACGGTTGTTTAAATCGGTCGCCGAACTTCGCGTTGAGCTTCTGGTCCAAATTCTGAACATTATTTTGCGCAAAACTACGCGACCGATCGCGTCTCTACGCAGGCACGAGAAAAGAACTGTCGCTACACTGTAGAATCAACGGGAAAAGAACTCGGCAGATTGACGGTCGTCAGGTGGGAAGGCTGTGATTGGTCGAACGCGATCTCAGACCCGCCTAGTAACTGCCCCTGATTGGTGGAACGCGTCTTCTGCTCCTCCTCTCTAGTCTATCACATTCGTCCCCCTAACATGCCCACAGACTGAAAACGTGACCGTTTGGAACACTGGCTACCGGACTACGGCACAAACTGCGTTGTAAATGGCACGTTTGTGGCTTTCCATTTCCTTTTTGCCAAGCATCCCGTGTCTATTTTAAGAAACCTTAACAAGCATCTGAATACTACAGGCGCTAACAGTTAGATATACAGTAGAATTTCTCTAAACGATGCTGTGCAAAGCTGATTTTTAGTGGAGTCTGATATAGTAGATAATAAAACCTCACAATTATGTAGCTTGTATAATACAATATTTTCAGACATACATCTAATAATATCTGCGCGCGAGCGGAGGGAATTCAACATTGACGTTCATTTGAGTCACATCTGCTGACGTCACTTGCGTTAGAAATCGCTACGTGCAGAATGAAACCTTGACGTTGATTTAAGGAATGGAGGTCTTACTGTACGTTTATTCGCTGGTAACATTTAGAGTTTTGCGCATGTGTTTCCCTGGCATTATTAATAATTAATTGGTTTTCTTGCTGTATCAATTTTTCACTAAATGGAAACAACACGGCATGAGCATTTATAGAGATTGATGACCAAGTTTGATGACAGCTGATCTCTTTAATAGTTGATTGCAGGAGTAAAAAAAAAACACAGCATTTTCATAAGTTGTACCTTTTATTAAAAAACGTTAAAAAAGCTACAATGCTCATATAAAATGTTTATACTCTATACTAGTTTAAGATCATACAATAAACAACATCCTCTTAGATTTTAAGTGTGAGACAATGTAAAAGAAAACAATTATCAAAGTGTAATAACCTATAATTTGCACAAACATAGTTTATGCAAAATTTTTTGACAAAAAAATGTTGAGCAAAATAAAACCGTCTCTTGTTGACAGACTCTTAAGTATAAAAAAAGAATACTGTACTAAATGCATTTTAAACACTTCATATGTATAAAGTGTGTTATGACACTCAATGCATAGAACTAGACAAATGCCTTCTCGTTATGAGGGGTCTAGAGGACTAATAGACTGATATACTTAAGCCAATCACCAATATTAAAACAGTTAACTTATTTAATATCAATACTGAAACCAATAATTGGTGCAAAACAACTCACAAAGCACTAATTCTGTGACCGATTTACCATGTGCAAAATACTTTTGTGAATCAGGCTTATTAAGTCCTCTAGAGTTAAAAACCCACCCTGAGTTTGACCACAGCCAACACTCACCGTTTGCAGTAAATAAATTAAATAAATTAAGTCACAATAAAAAATGGGTTGGCCCCATTACACTTCATTTGTTGATAAGACAAAATATAAGAACTTTGACGTCTAACAACAAAAAAAACCTACGGCTGAGCTGATTGACAGCCAACTGCAATCAAACCTTGAGGGGGAAAAAAAAAAAAAATTTGCGCAAATAAGCACATAAATGTAAAACATGCATCATCGTATGTATACTTGGTGCCTTTTGTATATTGTAGTACTGAATTAAGTTCCTTCAGTTTATGGATTTTGATAAACGGAAAACTTGTTGAGTTGTTGTACATAAGAATCTAATCTCTTCGGTTAAAATCAATTTGTAGAACATGTACATAGTGTACAGTAACATATTACAAGAAGAATCTATTGTAAAAAATATATAATTTATATACACATTTAGACAATCTTTTGTCTCCTTATGAAAATATGCCAAGCTTTACAACTTTTGTATACATCTTGTTCTGCTCTCCGTAGTGTCAGGAGTATAACAAATAAATTAAATTTAAAAAACAGCATGTCTGGACAGACAAATACAGAAAAATCATTAAAACATACCAACGGTATGCAAATAAGATGACTATGGTCAGCTCATAAAATCAAGGCCATCCTTCAAAAGACATCAACTCTTTTCCCTGAAAGGACTCCAGACTTTACTTGCTTTCCATAAAGAACAGAAAAGCCAGTAACATTAAGACAAGCGTGTAAGTCTCTGAATAAGGTCGAACCTAAGAACCCACAATGATTTCCATGATGTGATCCAGTTCATTGAGATCAGAACGACAGGTCGGGGTGGATACTATGGAAGGGGAACTGTGTGAAGGTGCCAAGCTGTCAAGGAGGTCATAAGGGCCCATCTTGGGTGCGCTCTGCATGCCGGTCAACATGGTGTCCAGATCATAGTAGGAGGTGTCCACATCAGAGAACAGTTCCTCAAGAGCAGAGTCTGGACCCGGGGAACCGTTTTTTATTTCAAATGTCCCAAAAACTTGTCCAGTGGTCTTTGGACTCTCTGTAGAAGCCCCATCCTCGGTGTCTATCTCCTCATCTTCTCCTGAATCAAGTCTAGAGTCTTCAAGGGCCTCTTCATCCCTCTCTACACCACTGAGCTCACTCTTCTCCCAGCACTGGCCCACACGCCCTGCCAGGCACACATTAGAGACAGTATCGCTAACTGAAACGGAGCACAGCGTCTCATCAGCTACCACCTCCTCTTCACGGCAACCTTCGTAGCTGATGACAGAAAAGAGTTTAGGTTCTGCATCCTGCTCTCGCGACCTGCAAAGGACCTCAGTGGCCACCAAGCGCTCGGAGGGACTCTGGCCTGGACCGCAGAACGCTTCAGTGACCATATGCCAGCTGCCATCGTGGGTCATCTCCTCCTGAATCTGCCTGACTGTGTTGGCAATGAGAACCGAGCGGCAGAGGTTGGGCTCCACCAGCATGTGGCATAACTGCAGCTTAATGAGGGACATGTCCAGCAGCGACTGCCGTTGCAAGCTGTACGAAGATGCCACCCTGGCACCTACCAGGCTTTCGTCGGATATCTCTTCATCACCATCGGAAAACTTACGCTTGGTGCCCTTGGAGAACATGTTTAGCCTACAGAAAAGAAATAAGGCATAGTGATGGTCAGTTCACATTCATCCAATTCTGTTCAAAGTCAAAGTCAATCCTGACCCTGTTTCTTAGATCCATAAAAATTGTCTTTACATTTTTTTTTTAAATGATAATTGTTGCGACTTTGGAACTAGAATATAAAACCAATAGAAATGTCAATGACAAAGAATACATTTAAGGAAAATCATTCTATAAAAGTACATTTCAGTGCTTTCAGCCTAACAAAAACATACAAACAACAAATCCAGAGTTAAATTATTCTTTTAAAACATTTAAACAGTATAAAAACGTGTGCCATGAATGTCTACAGTATGTATATATTTCCTTACAGAATGCAAGATCACATCTTACATTCATGGTCAATCCACAACCACCTAAAGTATGCATAAATGCATTTTAAATGTAGATCTTTGCACATGATGGGAATTTGACGATTATTAAAGTAACCTACATTAACTCGCACTATATCAAATGACTGATTTAGCTAATAAAATGTTGGAATTGTGCTTCAAGCCTTTGAATATAGATAAAAATGGAGGTGAAAGTAGATACCCCAAACAGAAAGTCTAATGTGGAGAGCCACAGTACTGAGACGAGGACTCCCTGTCTCCGTGGCCAGCCAACCAGGGTTACGGGAGCCTAAAAGTAACAAACATGCATCCAGTATAGGAAAAACACATGACACCAACCAGCATGACAAAGCACATTATCTGTCATCACACTAGCTCTTGACCGACTGAGTGTTTGTGAGCATGTATGTATGTATGTATGTTGGGAGGAGTAGGGAGGGGGCACAGGGACCTCTGATCGGCTACATATACTGGTGGGTAGGTGAAAGGTGGGGAAGACATAAGATGATAGCTAAACAATGGTAATGAGTTACATTTTACACATCAAACTCTATGCAAAACAAGCAAACCAACAAATCCATTGAGTGCAAGCACACAAAAAACCATCACATGTATTGCAAAGTCATTATGTTAAGAGGGATGACTTAACATAATGGAGATGATTTGCTTGACAGTTAACCAAGATCACACACAAGAACTTTAAACCCATAACCACACTGTTAACCAGATATTAAGGGCATGGTGGTGTGCCTACCTGAAGCATGGGTGACATCCCAGCACTGTTGAAAAAGAGACCAGAGTGCAAGCTGACACACATCCGCTGCAACTAAAACTACAACCAACATTTCGTACACCAGCACTGCATTCAGTTAATAATAGAGTGCCGCAAGAAATGAGTCCTAAAACCGGGAAACGAGTTAGGATTTTTGAACCTCGGGTTCCATCGTCCCGAAGTCAGTGGGTTTTTGATTAAATACCTGAAATAAAGTCTGTGGTTAACAGAAGCTCAATATGTTTCACGTTTTATTCTGCAACATAAAATCCCACTCATTATTTTTTTGTATCTTGAAAAAGCTCTAAATGGAACTTCAGGGGCTGTCGGGGACATTAAACAGCATTAAGGCGAATATCTACTCACAAGTCTACTTTCACAGCCTTGTTGTGTTTATGCTCATGCTTTTGCAAAATATTCTAACTTTCCAAATTGTTGCCTTTAAAGATTACAAGATTTGGCAGAAACTCAGTAGTGGTGACAGTGAAGTCCTGCAGCCTTGGTGTAGTTTGTTTGTATAGCTTTTTATTTCAGCTGATTGCATTTAGGCATCAAAGTTGTTCATCTGTGATTATTATTAAAGATTATAATAATGAGCAAAACATATGAGAATCATAAACTTTCATTGTTCACAACTTCACATTGCTTTTTTTTTTGCAATTATCCATAAGTCAGTGGGAAAATCCTTTTTGCTTTTTTTTTTCTCAAGAGAAGCAGTATGATGCCAACTTCTAGAACGGCCTACAAAAATACGTCATTCCTGCAGCACTCTATATCGAGAAAGATGTTCAGAAGATCTCCATGCGCTCTTAGGTATAACAGTTTGAATTTTTGAGGAAACTGGAAGTCTACATTGCAAGTGGTGGCACAGAACTAATCAAAAGAAATGAATGAAGAAGAAAAAAATCAGTAAACAATTCTTCCAGTAGCTGGAGTCTAAACTAAATCAAATTTACAGCGAAGATAATTCATCCACAGTGAACGTATCATACAGGCTCCACCCAGACAAACCCACTTCCCCACCCCCACCGCACTGACGTGGTCAAAAAATGCGCCACTGGGTAAGTAACAAAATAAATAAAAACCAGTGAAATAAACACACAAACTCTACATTCGAAGGTTCGATGGACAATAATCCACTAGATAAATATAAAAAGGAGGTTACTCACAGACTCCCTGACATGCGAGACGAGGAAACAAAGGTATAAACCTCTCTGCTGAGACGACAAAGATGGAAGCCATTTTGATTTTTCAAAGGGGTCCGCTGGCTAGTCAACTTAGCCAACCCAAACAGCATCTTCCCTCGTGTTATTTGTGTTCTTTGGCGGCGAGCGTCATAAGCGTCTGTAGGCCGGGTTTAATACTGAAGCGGTAGCTCCTTTGGCCTCTCTAGCACAGATTGCAGAGAGCAGACGGTAAGCAGCCAGCTGCAGCAGTGAGTGAAAGGGCCGATGGGGGCGGACGCTTGCTTCTTGATCGACAGCAGGCCTTCGCAGGAACGGGGAGCCCCGAACAAAAGCGTCTGTGATTCTACCCTGGGCCCCAACTTCAACAATGCACATCTTGTTTTGGAGGCATCTTAAAAATCAAATGGACACGCACGAATTTATAATTTCTCAAAGTAGCTACACAGCATAACCGAGTTATTTAGTGGTCCAATTTCTCAGCCATTCCCACTGCCCAAAGAAGAGTTTAATGGATATAGATAACATTCAGAAAATCATTCATATTTGAAAGATTCACATTTTATTCAAAGTGAGTTATACTGATGGCAGTGTCAGATATTAACGTTGTTATTAAGTGGCAGTGTTTGCACGGTAATTTTCTGGAGCATTTTTACATTTATGACTTTTTCTTTTTATGTCATGTAACTAATATGAGCACAGTATGTTAATGAAATTTAATCTGTTAATTCGAATCTTTAAATGCTTTCTGTATGCTGTGGTGTACAGACATTTGAGAAGCAGGAGGTGATGTTGGAGGAGATACAAACTGTAAAGTAAAAAATAAAATAAATCATTAAAATGTTTTTTAAAGAAAAACAAAATTGTAGGCATATTATTTTGTGTTGGGAAAAAAGCTGGACATTTTCTGACATATTTTTTTATGTAACTGTCCTTTGTCATTTTGAACAATTTCAAGAAAATCAGATTAGATTATAGTAAGTTTTGATAATATTATTTTTGACCACACATTTTAGCACTCACTTTTACAGTTCAGCTGTGTTGAATGGACAGCAGTAGGAGTGTAGTAAATGTTTTTTTTTTTCAAATAAACTTAAGATTATAGTGTAAATAAATTGTGTGAAAATTTGAATTCTGGAAAAATAAAAAATTCAAAGTTTTCTGAGGATGTGAGTTGGGAGTTTCATTTTGCTATAATACTGTGCAGTTGGTACTTCTGCCTTAAATGGGTTCAAGTCCTATCAGTTGGACGTTTTTCACCAGTTTGGGGAATTTTTGTTTCTCCCCTGGCCCTAAACTGAGGTGTCCCCTGGGCTCCATTTTGCTGAAAACACGCAATAGTACAGGCCACTCAAATGAAATGGCATTCACTTACATTTCTCACTTAGCCCTACCTATAAAACATTAAATCATGGTGGGAGAGAATTCATCTCCAGATTAATGCTAAGACTTAATGAGGTTGTCAGTGAATCTACACGCATTTAATGTATCTGATTATTTGACACTAAAAAATCATACTCTGAAAGAGGAAGAATGTTCATTGTCACATGATAACGAAATCAAGATTCATTGTATTCTATTCAGTGCCTCCATCTAGTGGCTATACTAAAAGACACTACTGAAAAAGGGCACGCGCTCAGATCTTCGCGTTTACTCATTAGTCCCGAATCTTAGTTTATGCTTTTAACTGCACTATGTGTTTTTCTTTCTTCATTTTTATGTGTGCACATAAACTGTTCCTCAGTATTTGATACACAATTAAAATACGACGAGCATGTACTTTGAACAAACAATTCAAGCCATGAAAAGATCAAAGGTCAAAATTCCGCGGACGTTTCCTGCCACCTCGTTCTGACGCACACGACGAATTGTCATCAGGTAAATACAATTTTTTCTTCAGTTCTGTATTTAAACTGTATTTCGGTGTTGTTTGTATATTTCAGAATTATTATTAGCCTGTTATTATTAGCTTTGAATAATAGTGTTAGACCAATTCTTTACTTTCACTTTCTCTCTCTCTCTTTTTAGATTACACAACGCATAGCTTTTCTAACAAGAGCGGGTCTTTTGATAAACACCCTTTTGTGGAACGACAAGATCAGGACAAATCTTTTTTAGTGTCTTAGCACGTGTTGGCAGCGAAATGGCAGAGGCTATACTCGGAGATCACGACCAGTACAGCTGCTCAATATGTTTGGAGTTGTTGAGGGATCCCGTGACTATTCCGTGCGGACATAGTTACTGCATGAGCTGTATCAATGAGTGCTGGAATACAAATGATCAGAAAGGGAAGTATAGATGTCCACAATGCAGACATACCTTCAATTCAAAGCCTCCACTCAACAGAAGTACAGTGCTTGCTGAAATAATGGAGAAACTGAGGAGTACAGAGTCTGCTCAAAGTCTTGCTGGACCTGGAGAGATTGCGTGTGATTTCTGTTCTGGAGAAATGATCAAAGCTGTCAAGTCTTGTCTGGAGTGTCGAGCCTCTTACTGTGAAACACATGTACAGCCCCACTATAATGTTCCTGCCCTGAAAAAACACAAGCTGGTGAAAGCTGCGGTCATTCCAGTATGCCCCAAACACGACAAGTTCCTTGAGGTTTACTGTCGAACGGACCAGAAATGTGTCTGCATGCACTGCTTACTGGATGACCACAAGGGCCATGACACAGTACCATCTACAATAGAGCGCAACGAGAAACAGGTGAAGATGTCTATCTTTTTTTTTTCTTTAATGACTCGTAAGTGCTGTCAATAGTTTAAAATAGGGGTCAACAAGACTTGGTCCTGGAGGGCCGGTGTCCTGCAGACTAGCTCCAACTTGCCTCAACACACCTGCCTGGGAGTTTCAAGTATACCTAGCAAGACCTTTATTAGCTAGTTTAGGTTGTTTGATTAGGGTTGGAGCTAAACTCTGCAGGACACCAGCCCTCCAGGACCAAGTTTGGTTCCCTGACCCCTGATTTGACCCCTGGCTTAAAAATATTAATCACGATTAATTGCACTCTTTTCAAGAAAATAAGCATAGGCCAGTTGTTTAGCACATTCATTTTGTCATCATTTCTTATATCCAGCAAAGTAAGCCATCAGATTTAAGGGTGATTCACACAAAAATGTATTTTCAGTAAGATCTTTTCAAAGTAAATGTAGGTGTCTACAAAAAAGGACACCAAATAATCAAGTGATATAAGAAGACCTCTAATTCATGAGTTAATGCATGCCAAAGCACACATAGAAAAAAAATAAAATAAAAAATGTACAGTGTATAGTAGGCCATGCGTACAGTGCAACAGCAAAGAACTTATTCACATTTTGGACGAGTCCAATTGCGATTCTGAATAGGACCACATGGAGATGCCAAAAAAGCAACAAAAAAAAACAAAAGCAAATGAACCGACTTGACCTGACTAAATATACCTACTATAGTGCACGGATCCATTCAGAATGACTAAACACAGCAACATACACATGAAGAATCAAAACATAATTCTGAATGTGTGTGGAACAAATGTGAATGTACTCAAATGTGTTTGTGCATAAATACTATGTCTGTCCAGACCGCACATACATGCTTACTATACAGCACCCGGTACGTCATCGCAATCATCCTTACCTTGATTCCAATCCTCATTCTGCAAAACTTTACTAGTGTGATGCTGGTTTGCTTTATCCAGCCGAGAAGTTTGCGTATCATTTGGCCATACAGCGGTGGGATGTTTTGACGTTCGTTCGCTTCTGTCTGTATTTCACACAGAGTGTGATGTAACTTTATGTGCTTTAGTAAGTTATTTGCATTTAATTATTTTAACGCGTTAAAGGGTTAGTTCACCCAAAAATGAAAATTCTGTCATTAATTACTCGCCCTCGTGTCATTTCAAACTCGTAAGACCTTCATTCATCTTTGGCACACAAATTAAGATATTTTTGATGGAATCTGAGAGCTGTCTGACCCTGCATAGACAGCAACACAACTGAAATGTTCCCAAAGTCTGTAAAATAATCCATGTGACATCAGGGGTTCAACCGTAATTTTACGAAGCTACGAGAATACTTTTTGTGTGCAAAAGAAAAAAAAATAACCCCAGCACTGTTGAAAAAGAGACCAGAGTGCAAGCTGACACACATCCGCTGCAACTAAAACTACAACCAACATTTCGTACACCAGCACTGCATTCAGTTAATAATAGAGTGCCGCAAGAAATGAGTCCTAAAACCGGGAAACGAGTTAGGATTTTTGAACCTCGGGTTCCATCGTCCCGAAGTCAGTGGGTTTTTGATTAAATACCTGAAATAAAGTCTGTGGTTAACAGAAGCTCAATATGTTTCACGTTTTATTCTGCAACATAAAATCCCACTCATTATTTTTTTGTATCTTGAAAAAGCTCTAAATGGAACTTCAGGGGCTGTCGGGGACATTAAACAGCATTAAGGCGAATATCTACTCACAAGTCTACTTTCACAGCCTTGTTGTGTTTATGCTCATGCTTTTGCAAAATATTCTAACTTTCCAAATTGTTGCCTTTAAAGATTACAAGATTTGGCAGAAACTCAGTAGTGGTGACAGTGAAGTCCTGCAGCCTTGGTGTAGTTTGTTTGTATAGCTTTTTATTTCAGCTGATTGCATTTAGGCATCAAAGTTGTTCATCTGTGATTATTATTAAAGATTATAATAATGAGCAAAACATATGAGAATCATAAACTTTCATTGTTCACAACTTCACATTGCTTTTTTTTTTGCAATTATCCATAAGTCAGTGGGAAAATCCTTTTTGCTTTTTTTTTTCTCAAGAGAAGCAGTATGATGCCAACTTCTAGAACGGCCTACAAAAATACGTCATTCCTGCAGCACTCTATATCGAGAATGATGTTCAGAAGATCTCCATGCGCTCTTAGGTATAACAGTTTGAATTTGAGGAAACTGGAAGTCTACATTGCAAGTGGTGGCACAGAACTAATCAAAAGAAAT